CGCCCTCTTCCTCCTCCTCATCGTTTTCCTTTTCCTCCTGCCAATCTCCCCCCCCCCCCTCTTCCTCCCCCGCCGCGCCGCCGTGCCCCCCCCCTCGCCGCGTGACGCTACCGCGCTCCCGTTAGGACCGCGAATCGCCCGGCGAACGCGGCGCGACCTCGTGGGCGCACCAGACTGCTTCGACAAACCGCCCAACCAAACTGACCGACAAAATGCCCGCCCGGACCGTCGGACGAAATTGCCGCAGGGTCCAGGGGGGCGCATCCTAAGTGTAAAATTTCAATGAATCCGCCCCGCAGCGAAAGTCAGGAACGATTTTGTCGCGACACTTTCTTGGGCCGGTCAGATTTTTTTGTCGCGGCCGTCGTTTTTTTTGTCGGGCCACCTTTTTTTTGTCGGCCCATTTTGTCGTGCCGATGTTTTTGTCGGGGTTGTGTTTTTTTTTGTCGGGCGGGTCGGTTTTTTGTCGGTCAATTTTGTCGGGGCAATCGTTTTTTTGTCGGCTGGGCGCCGCCCGCAGCGCATGGGCGCAGGGAGGCGGACGGATCGAATGGCAGCAAGGGCGCACGCGCGCAACGCAGAAGGAAAACAAGAAGGAGCGCGAACCAGGGCAAGGCAATAACAGCGCGGGGGGGATGCGAGGGTGGCGGCAAGAGCAGATGATGACGAAATGAGAAAGGCATTTGCTTGTAGAGTACGTGTCCCGACGGATCCACGCACAGCGGGCGCCGAAGTGATCGCGGCACCTTTGGTCTCCAATCTGTAGCCTCGATGCCAGCATCACAAGCGCGCGCAGGATGCTCTGTGGGCACAGTGCTCACGAAGTCCGCCCCGCGCGCGACGCAGCAAGCAGGCGACGTAACTCAACTCCTTCGCGCCGAGAGGCGGGCGGCCACGCATGTCAGGAAACTCAAAGAGTCCCTCGCGGTCGCCCACGGGGCCTCGCAAAGGCCGATTAGGACCTGGACTCAAATAAGCCTGGCGAAATACCCAACCATATGCATCTGCGGGTGCCATGTGGGGCCACGAATGCGTGGGGGGTGCGCCAAGATGGGGCGGCGCCGCCATGTGGACCACGCCACTAGGGCCTCCGGTGGGACTCCATGCGGGGCCGCGAACCGAGCGAGGGGTGCGCCCAAATGGGGCGCAGCCGCCATGTAGACCCTGCCAGCAGGGCCGTCAGTGGAGCTCCATGTGGGGCCACGAACCGTGCGAGGGGTGCGCCCACATGGGCGGCGCCGCCATGGAGCCATGCCATTGGGGCCTTCGGTGGACCCCCATGTGGGGCCGCGAAACGGGGGAGGGGGGGTGCGCCCACATGAGGCGGCGCCGCCGCGTGGACCACGATCCAGCATGGATCCTTGCAGATCGGCGGGCCTCGCGGAAGCATACAAGCATCCAAGAATTTCGGGCCCTGTCCGAGCCCATCGATATCCTCCTGCGTGAATCCATAATCTTCCTGGCAATCATGGTCGGCCCACGCGGCGCAAAAATAATTGCCCTGCCTGGCCCACTCGCGCGCCAGACAATTAGCAGGGGCCATTCCACCATACCTGGTGTAGTGGGAGCTCTTCTGTTTCGTGAACCCGTACTGGTCGCAAAAGTTCATTGGGGGGCCCGGGTGCGCAAACACGGCACAATTTACTGCGTTTCTGCCCGCCGCCATGTTGCCGACGCCTCCCTGGTGTCTCACGCGAAAGTACGTCTCGCGTGACCGCGTCGCTTTGGATGCGCAGCGCGGTTTTCATTATGGTTTTGCGTCCCCGAGAATTTTCAGAAGTGCGCCTGGCGACCTGCAAATTTGCGCAACCAGTTGCCATCGCGCCGCGACTTCTGGCGACGCCACCGCCCTCGAACATGCGCGCGCGCACGTGCGAGCCCACGGTTGTAGGTTAGCGCGCGCCGGCACGCACATCGCGTTTGCTTGTCTATTTCTCCGCCTATCATGCTGTTGCGCGCTGTAGTGTCGCATGGGGCTCGCGCGTGGTTGCGCGACCTTCCCTGTGGTATTGAACGCAAGGGCGCCTTTGATATCGCTGTGGCAGTGCCACTTGCTCCAAGGTGTTTATTCGATTATCACCGCTGCCGCTGCAAGTGGCGCGGCGGTTCCTGATCGCAACGTCGCGATTGGTAGGCAATTCGGTCCGCGCCCTTTCGCGCCACACGCTGTTATCGTGGTCCTAATCGGGGCATCAGCTTGCAGCAAGGAGCATCGCGCGGGCGCTCGCGTTCTCGCGTTCGGTCAGCCGCGATTCGTCCAACGCTGTACCGATCATTTGGCGTTTGAGCGTTTATTTGATTGAATTACGTTTTGTCGTCAAAAGCGTCGCCAGTAGAATGACATTGCTGACGTTTCCCGCGGGAAATGCGACGCGGCGAACTTGCCGCCGCGCAGCTTGCCGCCGCGCCCCGCCTGCCGCGGGCCCTAGACAAGACGAGGCATGACAATGCGCGACTCGACAAGGCGCTCGCCGCCGGCCGGCCGGCCGCCCCGGAGCGGGGCGCGCGGCGGGGCCTCAGCCCCGCAGAATGCCAATTCTCTGATTATCGCCGCGGCCGTTTTTTAATTTTCAAAAATTTACGTTTTTTTCTAGCAGTTTTGCCTTGCTTCCTGCACTTGGCCGATGAAAGGGAAATTCAGCAATTGCGCGCCTGGGCCGCGGCGCCCGCGATTGAAGGCGGAGAATTCCGAGCCCGTTGACAAACATCGTGAACAGTTTTGTTTGTCTGTAGGGAACATGGGTCGGATTTCTGACCAGATCTTTAGTTTGGCCGAAGATGCGATGCCGGTGCGTGGTTGCCGCCGTTAATGGCGAAGTGTGCATCAAGGTGATCAACGTCGACATGGCAGTGTTTGAACTGAAGATTTTTGATTTCATAGCGGACTGTGGGAAGGGTACGTTTCGCCCTCATCATTGGCCCGCGGCCAATCAGGGACCTTCCGTGCATGGGCGGAGAAGGGGCCCCCCCGCGAAGGCGCGCGAATTTCATCGCCGAGGCATTGGCAGCGGTTGGAGATCCCACCGGGGCGTGGAAAGTTGGCTGCCACTTTCCAGCTGACAGCGCGGGGCTCTGGCACCTGTCCGACGTGGACAAAGGCCTTGGGGCGATCAAGAATCAATCATACTATAACGGGGGATTCGGATAATGCCCGGGCTGACAGGGCGAAAAACAAACCGCGACTCAGCGCCGACACTGGTGGGCCTGCGCGGAGGATCGTCAATGTGATCGCGGGGGTCTCGAACGCGCGCGTGGATCCTGTCGCAATGCGCAATGATAGGCATATCGCCCCGGCGTTCCGCGGTTATGTCGCCACTATAGCGCTGGAGTGGCAGGGCCATAGGTAGAAGGCCGCGCTGGCGAACCCCAGGCCCTGGCCCCTATTGACGGGGCTCGCGGGGCCATCGTTCGATTTCGCTGCGGTTGACATGGGGCGTCTCCCACCTCGACAGCCTCGGCAAGGGCCCGTTTCTGAGCGAGGCCAGTTCGCAGAGAATCGTTCGCGACAGAATCGGCCAGGTAACGAATGGGCGCAGAGCGCCGCGAGCTACGATGGCCATTCTATCGGCGGAGAGTTTTACTGAGATGGCGATTCGACCCCAGCCGAGCATGACGCGGCCGCGCCCGCGGCCGGCTGCCCCCGCACCCGCGCGCGGAGATTGGTGCTGGAAGAGATCGCGAAGGCAGATGCCCTCGCCGGCGCTGCAGTGGCCAAGACTGAGGATCGGGGCCTCGATAGGGGCAGAGATTGGGGCCCAGGGACGCGGGGCGCACGCGAGTCCAGCGTTCGGTGTGGGGGGCAAAAGCAAGGGTCGCGAGCGCGATGGGGAGCGCTGGCACAGTCGATGCCATGATCCCGGCTGGCAGCGCTGGCGATGGCGATTGGGTTTTGACTGGATATCGCTAGCGCCGCGAAGCTGGCAGCGCCGGCGGTGGCCACAGGAGGTCGGGAAGCGGCGCGGGCGAAGATGAATGGACTGCCAGTCTGGGGAGCGGGAACAGTTGAAGGACGGCCGCAGCGAGACTCTGGGGGGCGACGACCCTGGGGAGAAATAGGACCATGGAGACAAGTATAGTTGCGGTTGGAGTTAGAAGTGACCGAGGTCGTCACGAGCCGCGATGACACTTGTGCGTCGGGGCGACCAGCGCTGGGGGGCCCCGCGTGCCTGTTTGATAAATGCGGGGTCCGTCGAACACTCGAGTCGGGTCGGGCGAAAGGGGGGGATTGGGAAAGGGGGGGTTACGAAATTTGCTGCATGCAGCTGGTTTCGGCCTCACCGAGGGGCCCATTCCTCGATACATAGCCGCCTCCGGCGCCGGGAGGCGCCGGGAAAATCAGCTACGTGAGCTGATTCTCAACCCCCCCCTTTGCTATCCCCCCCTTTCGCCCGACCCGATCGAGTTCTTGCCTCTGTGGCGGGAGTAAGCACTGCGCGGAAAGTTGCGTGGAATTGTGTCTGGGGCCGGCGTTCCCCGGGCGCGGCGCGCCGAATGACGTCGCGCGAGAGTTCGTCTGCCCTGGCGGCCGATTCTGGGGGAGTCGACAACATTCATTCCCGCCTGCGTCGCGGCGTCGCCCATCCGCCCACCGCTGCGGGAGGCTGGCTCGAGAACCATGGGCGCTTCGAGGAGGTGCTCGGCGAACCTGAGTGCGGGGCGTCGGGGGCGCTTCGTAGGCGGTTGAAGGGGGTTGCCGCCGCGTCACGTCGTCGATCGACACGAACAAGGTCCTCCGGAAGGAACTCACTGAGTAAGGGGGAAATGTAGGAGATGCGTCACATCGGTGGGGCTGCCATGCAGGTCAGGTAGAACATCTGAGCAACGACAATCAGTCCCATTTGAGATGATTACTCTTCCTCCTCCCAATGAATCCCCGCTTCTCGTCGCCACGAACCTTGTCAGATTTCTTCTTTTCCCCTTCATCCCCCGCAGCCTCGCCCTCCACCACTTCGTCCCTGTCACCTGCTAGCAGTTTCCTCGAACGCCGTTGGATTGTTAAGGTGCGCTAGCGTACGGCAAATTGAAAGAGAAGTTTCGACAGACCTCGAAGGAGCAGCTCGAGCGCGAAGAGGACGAGCGCGTGAAGGCATCCAAGGTCCTCGCGGTCGTCCCCTTCCTCCTCTTCACTTTTTTTTTTTCAGCGCCCCTTAGTCCCATCCTCGTCTCTGTTCTCGTTTTCGCCCTTCTCGCCACTGTTCCCCGCGCCCCGCCCTGCTTTTCTTCTCCTCCGTCCCGTCCTTCATCATTCGCTCGTTTTTGTTGCCGTACGGTAGGTTTGCGTCGTGTCGACCAGCGGCGACCCCAGCGCGGGCGTTCAAGGTTGAACGCCGCCGGCGACCCAGAATCGATCGATGTTGAACGATCGGACGTTGCGGCAGCGGCCGATCGTTCAAGGTTGAACGATCCAGCGCGGTGTCAGGAACCAACGCCAGGGTCGACACCGCACGGACCTGCAGTACGTGTCATCGCTCTCCCCTTGACGCTTCTCCGTCTCGTTTTTGCCCTCCGTCTTTCCTCGTTTTTGTTTCTGGTCCGTTCCCCATCCTTCTCCTCCTCCTCCTCCTCCTCCTCCTCCTCCTCCTCCTCCTCCTCCTCCTCCTCCTCCTCCTCCTCCTCCTCCTCCTCCTCCTTGTTTCTGGTCCGTTCCCCATCCTTCAGCTCCCCTGTCGTCCCATCCGTCTTCACCGTTTGCGTCCTCGCCGTCCCCACCCGTCCCCGCCCAACGGCCTCTTCCTGCCCTCCGCCGCCTCCCGTTCGTCATCCCATTCCTCCTCCCGTTTTTTCCTCGTCCTTTACCTCATGTTTCATCATCCCCTCGCTGCGTCTCTCCCCACCGTCCTCGCCATCGTCGATCCATCCTTCCCGCCTCGTGCGTGTTCCCCTGCCCCCCTCGTTTGGCCCCTCTGTTTCACCCCCTCGTCTCGCCTTATCTTTGCCCCTGCCTTCTGAGCGAGGCCTCTCCCGAGATGCAGCGCTGCGACAATACTGCAGCATCCCAAGCATCACGGCCAGAGCCCTGAACCCAACCTTTCGGCCGCATTTGTCGAGCCGCATCGCCTTGTGATGGTCCTGGGGCGAAGACGCCTGGCGTGAAACAACCCAGCAAAGCAGCCTGATAGCAGCAAGTGTGAAGCGGCGGTTCGAGGAGTCGGCTCGGAGGTCGAGACGCGGCCATCTGCAATTCCGTGTTTTTTTGCCCAGACCTTGGCTGTCCAGACTAAATGTGCATCAGGTTTTGAGGAGAGAGCACCGTTCCTGAATATGTTGTTCGTAAGGATATCTCGGGCGAAATGTCTGCCAGACCAGGCGTCCTCGGGCTCCCCGGCCCCCTCTGGGGGACTGTTTCGTGAATCTTATTTACTGCTACTAGAGCCCTCCAGCGAAACCGCAGTGGGAGACAATTGCAACGGCTGGCCCCAAGGGTCTTGCAGCTGTTCCCCCCCATCCTCGTCGTCCTCCCCCTCCCACTCCCTTGTTTCATCCGTGGCCATTTTGGCTCAAGGTGCCGTCCCAGCTCGAAGGATTAGGTGCAGCGTCCAGGAGGTAGTTATCAGTCATTCGGGATTGATGCCAATATGTCTACCAACGGCTGCCGCTATAGTTCTGCCGTGAGGAAGCCGAGCTCGCCGGATTCGGCAGTGAGACGGGGCCTTGCGCCGTCGCGCTGATTCAGCTCGCGGCACCCTCATACGTGAGCTGGTCGAAGGAAGGTGCCAAATTGAGGGTCCCAGGGTGGAGTGAGCCTCCTCCTCCTCCTCCTCCTCCTCCTCCTCCTCCTCCTCCTGCGTACAAGTGGCGTGGCCCCGACGGAGGATCCTCTCACGCATGCCGAGCAGTACCGACGGACAGTTGGCAAAGAAGTGTCCTCGCGGTGGTGGCGATCGCGCTGCTCGGGCTGCGCCGGGCAAGGCGACCTCGCACCCTCGGGGACTTCGCCCCGTGCGATCGCGTCGAGGTCGAGGCGACCCCAGGAAAAGGGAGGGCCTGCTCCTCCTCGTCCTGCTCCTCCTCCTTCTCCTCCTCCTCCTCCGTCCTCCTCCTCCTCCTCCTCCTCCGTCCTCCTCCTCCTCCTCCTCCTCCTCCTGGCGCGGGCGCATGCGCGGCGGCGCGGGCCAGGCGTTGGCATCGGACCAGCTCGCCGCAACAATTGGGCGGCGAGGCCCGGCTCTGTGCTGAAATCTACTCTGGAGCGAGTTCGACGCGCGACGGCAGAGGTGAATCCGACGGAGGCGGTGGTCCTACCTGAGTTGCAATCAATTCCCACGTGGAGTTTATGTCTGGAGCTGGCCATCAGCGATGGCGCGAGAAGTCGTCAGGGGTCTCTTGGTTGCATCCTCGGGAGTCGCATGGCGATGACATCACATACTGATGACAACAACCAGGGGGTGGTCAAGGCGGGGCTATGCGTCAGGACTATTCAGATCCGGATCAACTACAGTCTTGCGCGAGAGCGGAAGACGCCATCTCCGACGCCGCTTCACAAAAGCGATCGCACATCAGTTGCTGGCTGCCAGGAAGTTCAGGATGAGCATCGCCGACGTCGCGGGCGCCTTCTTGGAGGCCGACGAGCGGAAGAGGTCCGCGGGCAAGATCTACCTTCGTCAAAGTTTGAAGCAGTGAGTCCGATCTACGGTCTCAAAGTCGCGCCCGCGATGCGGCGGCAGAAATGTCGCGGCTCGCATGGATGGGCTCCTGGGCGCGGGCGAGTCAGGCTGGGCGCCGTCTAAGACGGGCCTTGCGTGTCTTTGGTGTGCGAGAACGTCAAGTTGCGCGGCGTTCACCGCGTCGCACGTAGCCGATGCTACATCTGAAAGGGTCAGGCGGAAACACTGGCGTGCAAGACGCCGCCTTCGATTCACGTTTCCCTCTCCGAAGTGGCGCGTCGGCCAGGGTGCGTCGTGCGGCTTGTCATTCTGGCTGCGCTCAAACATCTTCGACGTGGAGATACATCGGCAGAGTTTTGCGATTGCGGTGAAATCTGCCCGCGCAAGATCTCGACGTCCCCCTGAAGCCCCGGCGCCCGAGAGTTAGATCTCGAATGCGCGAGTTGCGCGATTGGCACGGGGAATTGGCCAGCGAGCGAGACTCGCCCGGAAATCACCGCCCAGGTCTCAAAGGGCCAACGAATGCTATCGACGCCAAGTATTGGTCAAATCCGTCATGCTAGCAATATTGTGTCTAGTGCGTAGAGCAAGACCGTTTCTTCCTGTGCGTTGTGGCGAGATCGTCGCATCCCTTTTATGTAAACTACGGCCAGTGATTCGCGCGGATGTTTCTCGCCAGAATGCCGCTAATTCGCGTGCCCAGGCTGGGCGCATTGTTGCTGCGATTCGCGATGTAACGGCACGGGTCGAGCTGGCCCCGTGGAGTTCTCCCCGTTAACGGAGTTACTCCAGATTTCGTAATAAAAGGGAGGGGGTTTGGACCCTCCAAGACAAGCCATTCCAGACCTCCCCCGTGGGAGAACCCTCCCAAATATCGTCCCCAGACCCCCCCAGGCCCTCCAAGATAGCCTGGAAGAGACCCCCCCCGAAATGAGACCCCCCTCCCTTTATTACGAAATCTGGAGTATCGTTTGCGATGAGTTGCGGCCTCTACATTGGTTGCCGAGGCTCAGGTCAGATGGACGCGCTGGGTCACTCGGAGCGGTTCGCGGGCTGCGGGGCCGGGCCCTGGAGGCACGCTGCGAGTCCTTGGGCCACTCGTTGGGCCGCTCGGGCCCCTGGTTGCCATCGATTGCATGTCACTTCGCGGCTATATGGTGTCATGTAGTAGCATTGGGTCTGTTGTTGACGAGAGGGTGGCAATGGATTTGGTGATTATTCAGGAATGCTTGAAACGTCTGGTGGTAGTGGCCCGCTGTATCCCGACGACTTCGCAGTCAGTTGACCTACTCACCCAGAGAAGGCAGAAGCCACGAATCTTATAATGGCTAGTAGGGGTATTAGGAAACGCCGACTAGCTGACAAACCTGCCGCGTTTGCTGCTGGCGCCCAAGACTGCGAACGCCGAGCGCTTCTCTCGGCTCAAGTCAGGCCGAACACAACGGCTGCCGCCTTGTTTTTACGGATTCAAATAACTCGCAGTCAAGTTCGGCGCCGCTCTCAACGAATTGGAGGCACACAGCTCCGTCGCAGGCTTGGCGACCAGTGCTGGCGAGACCGAGACTTCTGCGTCCCAGTGCCGCGTGACAACTATCATTGAGATGCTGACTGGGGCCAGCGGCGCGACAGGCGACACCGAGGTTAATCTTTCAGTCCGCAGAGGGACAGACTTCATCACGATCCGCGCAGGATGGACCCCAAATAGATATATACCTGGGTTTGCAACGTTCTGGGATTATTGGCCAGGGTTCATGATGTCGCGCCCGGAACATAATGAACCTGGGTTTAAATGTTCCAGGGGTATTGACAAGGGTTCACAATGTTCCCCCGGAACATTATAAACCCTGGTTTGTAATGTTCTGGGAATATCGACCCCAAACACATATGAATTTGGGTTCATAATGTTCTGGGAATGTTGATTGGGGTTTACAGTGCCCCGGGAATCATAAACTTGGTTTTTGTCATTCAGGAATGATCGTAATTATTATGTTCCCCCCACCCCCCGGGTTCCTCACCAGGTTTTTCATGTCGGCATATTGACCCCGTTTCAGTATCTCCAGGAGATAATTAACCCGGATTCATAATGTTCCCAGATGACCCCGGGTTAATTATTCTGGAATGATAATGGTTGAGCCTGGGGGGCGTCGTTTGTGGGACGTTCTGTTTTGAAATAAATTTTGGTTCGTAATGTGGGAATATTGAATTTAGGTGGATTATTCCGGAAAGATAATGATTCGGCCGGGGGGGGGGGGTTGAGCCCGATCCATTCCCAGGACGAAAATCCATAGGGTATCATGTGCAGATAATGAACCGCGGTCGAGCAGGATCTCGCACTTGCCCTCGATCCGCGCGAACGTCGTACCCGAAAACGGCGATCTTACTTGCACCAGGGTTCTGGACATGATCTATGGGAGGTTCATGAAGGGCGATGTGGCTCCTGCACTGGAGGGGGCACAGTTGGCGGTGGCGCATCGTTCAGAATCTGGTCCTGGAGCGACCAGGAGGTGCTCGACTCACCGGACGGCAAGACGGATAATGACCGGACCATGGCAGACCTCATTGCCACGTCCCAGACTCAAAGGCGTTTCGCCTGGGCGTTCAGACTATCTGCCGCCAGGGGAACGCGGAGTTGGCGGAGCTTCCTCTCTGTGGTGCCAGAGTGTTTCGTGTCCTGCTTCGTGATTTCAGCGGTGCTGAGAACAATATTTTCGATGCAGAGTTTCCGATTTCCCGAGGATCGAAGTATCTATCCCAAAAGGAGGCCCGCTGAGCAGTCTCACCCGTCACGGATGGCTTAACATGTCCGAAATGTATTCCAATATGAGGTTTCAGGGTTGAGGCGAGCCTGTGCACGTGTGCATGATAAGGGTGTAGCAAGTGTTGGAGTTTACGCAGTCACGTCGGCGCGATCCCAGGAAGAAGAGGCGCGCCCGTCGGCGAGCCGCCGGTGATCTGCAAGAGGGGCATCGGCTACATCACCCTGGTCTATACTACTGAACGCACACTCTCGTGTCTGCCGTTTCGGGGCGCCTCCTGCAAGTGAGGACGTAGAATGAAGACCAAGCTCGGGCACCGCTTCAAGATTTCTAAATACACTCAAGGCCCAGGGCTTCATTCACAGTCCAGCTTGAAGCCACGCCCCCATCCCCATATATCTACCTTTTCGTTGTTTCGAGACAGTGGCCCCCGACCTGTCGTCGACCCCCCAGGGACCACCGTTTCAATTCGAGCCGCTTGTTGTCGGTCCCGAGGACCAGTAAGGGCGCCGAAAACCAAGACCTTTGAAAAACCGCCGTCACGATTCTTCAACATGCCAGATATCTGGGTCCTCGCCGTCCTCTCCCCCAAAACAAATCCTTGAAGGGGATGCCCTCCTCGTTAAAGGCTTAACGACTTCTGCCGTCCTTCGACTCGCGCTGGAGCGGCCGCGAGATGCTTCACCTTTCCTCGGAGATCTTTGGATTTACCCGGATTTGTTTCGATTTGCCTGGATTTATCTGGATTTACCTCGATTTATCTGCACTTGCCTGGATTTTTCTGGCTCGCTCCCCACAAGTCGATCGGCGAAAAGTCGACAAGCCCTTAGGGACCTCCACGCCCCCCCCCGCAGAGGTGCCCATGAGCCCGACGTCCGTGCGCTTGACCCACGGTTTCGACGCCGAGCAGCGGCGACGGGCGCACCTCCGGCGGAGGGAGAGACGCCTGGAGGAGCTCCCGCCGCGCACCTCCCAAGAGGTCCGAGGCGCCGATTTTTTTTTTTTTATATATATATATATATAAAAAAAAAAAAAAAAAAAAAAAAAAAAAAAAAAAAAAAAAAAAAAAAAAAAAAAAAAAAAAAAAAAAAAAAAAAAAAACAAAAAAAAAGAGGTCCGAGGCGCCGACACAATTATAGATATATCCGTATCTTGGTACCAGTGCGTCGCATTTTTGTTGACGCTGGGCATTTTGGCGCCCAGTTTCGGGTTTCGGGGCCATCGCAGAGGATCGACAAGTACAGCAGGAAGATGGGGACTAGGGCTCCAGTCGTGATTTGTCGCGATGTTTTTGTTGTTGAATTCTTAATTTTGAAGAATAATTATTGTTGATCCCCCCGCAGGGTGCACATTGTATTTTTTAATTGAAGTGCCCCTCCCGGGGCTCGCTTCCTGTTTTTCATCAAGGAAAGTCGTGAGGCTCAAACTGTGACGTTGGCCCTCCAGTTAATAATAACAACGGCTCCCGCCTGATGCTCCCTCACCATTTATTGAAGAATCGCGCTCTCGCTTGGGACTTCATGGCAATGTACCACCGAATCTCGGCTCCCGCTTAATACGTCTTGACACTTTATTGCGGAATCGCGTTCTCGCTTGGGACTTCCTCTCATTTTCCACCGAACCGCTTCGCTGGATATTTCCGCACAATTTATTCAGATGCAGGTCCTCGACATTCAGGAATTGCGCTCCCGCTACATATTGCTTGGCGGGTCAATCAGGACTCACGCTTCAACGACCCGCCCGCTCGACCTGGCCGTCGGGGCCTGCCCGCCCGACCAGCCCGTTAGGGACTGCAGTCGCCGCTCGCTGCCCTTCGCCCGCCTTCGATGCCCCTGGTTCCGCGGTCGCCTTCGATCGCTGCCCTTCGTGGCCCCGTTGCTGCCCTCAGTGGCCCCGTCGCTGCCCTTTGTGGCCCCGCATTATATGCCCTTCGTGGCCCCCGCTTGCACGCGCCCGTCTTATCCCCATACGCATGCCTCGTAGCCCCGCTGTCGCCCTCCGTGGCCCCCTCGCTGCCATTCGTGGCCCCTTTGCTGCCCTCAGTGGCCCCGCTGTCGCCCTGTGTGGCCCCGTATACGAATGCCCTTCGTGGCCCCCGCTCGCTCGCGCCCGTCGTGGCCCCACATGCATGCCTTTCGTGGCCCCGCTGTCGCCCTTTGTGGCCCCCTCGCTGCCCTTCGTGGCCCTGGTGCTGCCCTCAGCGGCCCCGTCGCTGCCCTCTGTGGCCTCGGATTCTGTGCCTTCCGTGGCCAAAGCTGGCTTTTCTCACGATTTACTTCGGAATCGTGCTATCGCTCGAGAATTCGTCGCGATTCATGCAGGACCCACGCTTCAGCAGCCCGCCTGCTCGACCTCGTCGCCTGGGCCCGCCTTCCCGACCTGCCCGCTATGGGTCTGCCCACCCGATCCGCCCGTCCGGTTCTACCACTTGTTTTCTGCTTCTTGCCCCCCTCCTGCTAATTTCTCTCGTGCTCCATTATTCTCCCTCCGCCTTCCACCCGTCCCCTCTTGCCTTGTTTTAGGGGCTGCATTTAAATACACGTGGCAGGTAGGGACGATCGAAGACGACGAGGGCGGGTACCGAGGGTTTGGGATATACGTATTGATGAGCACGTGAGCAGATAGGAGCGAACAGTCTTAAGATTATTGTTGTTGTTGTATGTGTTGTTGATGTGTTGTATGTGTTGTTGTTGTGTTTGTTGTTGTTGTTGTTGTTGTTGTTGTTGTTGTTGTTGTGGTTGTTGTTGTTGTTGTTGTTGTTGAACTGTCATTTCCGAAGAATAACTATTGTTGATCCCCCCGTCCGGTGCACATTGTTTTGTTCGATTGAAGTGCCCTTACCGGGCTCGACCATTGCTTTATTAATCAGGGAAAGTCTTGAGGGTCAAACTGTGTCGTTGGCCCCTTGTTTACAACAACAACGGTTCTCGCTTGATATTCCTTCACAATGTATCAAAGAATCGCGCTCTCGCTTGAGACTTCCTTACAACTTTCCACCGGATCGCGGTTCCTGCTTGATACGCCCTCACAATTTATTGAAGAATCGCGTTCTCGCTTGGGACTTCCTCGCAACCTACCGCCGAATCGCGGCTCCCGCCTGATACTTCCCCACAATTTATTCAGATGCCGGTCCTCGACATTCAGGAATCGCGCTCCCGCTACATATTGCCTGGCGGTTCAAGCAGAATTTACGCTTCAACGACCCGCACGCTCGACCCGCCCGTCTGGGCCTGCCCGCCCGACCAGCCCATTAGGGACTGCAGTCGCCGCTCGCTGCCCTTCGCCCTCCTTCGATGCCCCTCGCTGCCCGTATTGGTTCCGCGGTCGCCTTCGATCGCTGCCCTTCGTGGTCCCGTTGCTGCCCTCAGTGGCCCCGTCGCTGCCCTTTGTGGCCCCGCTCGCACGCGCCCGTCGTGCCCCCATACGCATGCCATTCGTAGCCCCGCTGTCGCCCTCCGTGGCCCTCTCGCTGCCCTTCGTGGCCCCTTCGCTTGCCTCTCCCCTCCTTTCCTCCGATCCCTTCGTCCTCATTCCCCCCCGTTATCTGTTACCCTTCGAGTTTAAGGGCTTTACCAACCACACGTGGCAGGGAATGAATCTACCCCCCAAAAGGGGGTACGATCGAAGACGACGAGGGCGGGTATACAGGGTCTGGGATATGCATATTGAATGACATTCATGATTGTTGATGTTGCGATCGTTGTCGTTGTCGTTGCTGTTGTTGTTGTGGTTGTGCTTTCTGTTGGTGGTGTTGGTGTTGGTGTTGTTCTTGCTGCTGCTGCTGTTGTTGATGATGGTGTTGTTGTCGTTGTCGGTGTCGTTGTTGTTGTTTGTTGCTGCTGATTTTGTCACTGTGGTTGTTAGTGTTATTGTTGTTGTTGCTGCTGTGGTTGTTGCTGTTGTTGTTGTGCTTGTTACTGTGTTGTTGTTGGTGGTGGTGGTGGTGGTAGTGGTGTTGGTGGTGGTTGAGTTGGTGTTGGTGTTGGTGTTGTTGGTGGTGGTGATGCAGTTTTTTCCCCAAGGCCAGATCTGGGGGATGGCATTTGCGGTTAGCGGCGATGGGCGCCACAGGTGGGTAGATCGAGGGAGGATCTGTCGTGCTCCGACCGAGATCTATGACGGCATGTTTTTTCAAGCCCGGCGTTTCGTCCTCGATGCCGGCGGCCTTCGGGTGCCGTTGTTCAAAGAAAAGATTAACAAACACAACAATAAGTATCATTTTTGGGAGATCCAGGTGGATTTCTTGGATCTGCGCTCGGCCCCCTTGGCGGCTCCTGCGGCACCGCCCCTGGCGCGCTACGCGCGCCATCGAGGGGGGCAGCGCCTATCCAAGAAATCCGTACCTCAAACATGTGTGGTCATACATTCAGTTTGTTGTTCCTCAACTCTCGTCGTTCTTCGACAGACCTCCAACGATATGTGTTTTCAGCCCAGCCAGGTTTTCCTTCGGATCTGTGTGGGCCGCTTCTGGGCCCCAGGATATTCAAAGACGGAGCTGGGGCGACGAATGGCCCCGAATCGAAGCGGTCGGGACCTCCCGAGGCATCCGGCGCTCCATTGTTTTCCACGCGCGGACCCCCAGAGTTTGGGGCCATTCTCCCAACGCGGGTTTCCCGGCCCGAGTCGTTGTCTGATGGTCCCAGGGCCAGTTGGTAGGAGCAGAAAAGAAGAACGTACACCAGATTTCGTAATAAAAGGGAGGGGGTCTCATTTCGGGGGGGGTCTCTTCCAGGCTATCTTGGAGGGCCTGGGGGGGTCTGGGGACGATGTTTTGGAGGGTTCTCCCACGGGGGGGGGGTCTGAAATGGCTTGTCTTGGAGGGTCCAGACCCCCTCCCTTTTATTACGAAGTCTGGAGTACCCGTGCATGAATCCACGCTGGTCTCGAGGGTACGCCTCGCGCGCACGTTCGTACCGCGCGGCCGGCCTCTCGGAGTGGGGGGCCGTGCTCATGGACGTGGTTGGGCGCGTACGTCCTTTGTGGGCTCTCTAGCTGGGTGGCCGAAGGCCAGACTGTCAGACTGGATTGGGCCCCAAGGGCCAATCTGGCTTGGCCATATTGGAGGATTTGGGTTATTCGCCAGACTGGATTCGCGCTGGCTCCCCCGCCAGATTGCCCCCGTTTGCCAGATTGGGCCTGCCAGATTGGCGCCAGATTGGCTTCGACTACCCAGTCTAGTTGTCATGGCGCCAACATCGCAGAGCGGATTTCGTTTAGAAAACGATGGAATGGGCCCAGAGAGTCCTGGAGAATTTCGTTTCGAATTTCGAGGTTGATTTCGTGCAGATTTTTTTCCGGTGCAGTGATCGTTGGAGGGCTTTTGCAGGCCCAGAGAGGGCAACAGAACCTGCCGCGTCCAATTTTGTCTGAGCCTCGGATCTCTGGGCCTGGGGCCGCGGCTCGGATCATCACATCGTCGGATGTCTGGGCAGAGGGTTTCTCCGAAGGGTCTAGGCGACCCGTCCTCCTCCTCCTCCTTCTCCTCCAGCTGCCATCTGGGCCCAGGAGATTGCCAGGGCAGCCGAGAACCTCACACAGACATTCCACAGCATGTGGAGGAAGAACTGACTGGGCAGAGGCCCGCATGGCAGCGATGGCATAGACCGCCTCGTCAGCGCTGCTGCTGTACAGTCCGATGACAGCGCGAAAGGGCCGCACGAGCGAGATGTTCGAAGACGAGCCGAACTTCGATTCAGTGATCCTAGCAGGCACTCAGCGGCATCGCAGAGGCGAACATCCAGAGCGGAGAAGACTGAACGACACTCGCTACATGCACGCAGGCTGGCAGATCGGCGAGTTGACCAACAGAAGCACAGGAGGATTGATAAAACGGCAGGGTCGAGTGCGAGGCGCACGAGTACTGGCCACAAAATTGCCGCCACCAAAGTTGAGCGGCAGAGGACGACTGGTGGACATAATTAACGACAAAATCAAGATGACGATGATGGGGTA